GTTTTCAGAACTTTTCCCCCAGTATGCTCTACAATATCCTTGGATATATTTGCAGCACATACAAATACATATGTATAACTAGCTTCATATACCTATGTATGTATGTTTGTTGTTAAGTGCCATTGAGTCAGTTCTGACTTATAGTGACTATGTATAGGAAAAGCCAGTCTTGCAGTTCAAACCAAACTTGTGGCGTTGTGTGATCAGCACAAGACTGCAAAACACAAGGTCGGCTGTTCAAACCCACCAGTTGCTCCTCAGGTTGCTATGATTCAGAACCTACTCCAAGGCACTTAGCAACAACAATAATGGCTAATGATCATAAGCATAGTCTACTGCCAGCTTCCGGAAATACCACCTACTGAGAAGCAGACTGTAGTCATCTTGTTGTTGTTGTTAAGCACCATTGAGTTGGTTCCTACTCATAGTGTCCCTGTACTGGTAGGTTTAAACTGTTGATCTTGTGGTTCACTAATCCTACAGTGCCACACCAAGAGTCATCTGAAGCTGCACGGATTTTACTAATAAATGTTGCTGTGTGCTGTTGAGTGAGTTCCAATTCATAGAGACCTGGATAGGGGTTCTGAGAGCTGCTAGAGTTTGAACTGGAAACTTTATGGATACCAGTCCAATGCTCATCCTACAGAGCCACATCAAGGCTCATAAAAAATGTTGCTGTTGTTAAATGTCCTTAAGCTGGTGCCGATTCGTAGCTACCCTGTATAGGGTTTCCAAGGAGAGATCCCTGTATTTTAACAATAGACCATGAGGTTAACAGTCCAGTTGACAACAGTTTTTGATCAAGTTTATCTTAAACAATGCTACACTAGGACTCCTTAATAGATGTTGTTGTTAAGTGCCATTGGGTTGGTTCTGATTCATAGCGACCTTGTATAAGGTTTCCTAAGAGTGGCTGGTAGGTTTGAACCACCAAACTTTTGGTTCAAACTGACCTTGTGATCCAGTGCTTTATCCTACAGGACCACACCAGAACTCTACAATGAATGTTTTCCTTTAAACCTAAGAAATCAAGGAAATAAAGAAAACACATTTTTCTTATTTTTGGTGTCAGTTTCTTTATAGTTCACTCATGTCTATTTATAATAATCCTCTTATTTTTATGCATACTGTATTTTTTTTTTTTCACAAATATCAGGCACCATCAATCTTTTGTTTGTTTGTTTGTTTGCCAACTGATCCCTCACTCAAGAGGTATTTTCATAAGGGAATGCAATGTCATTTTAAAAAACATGTTCCTGTAAAAAAAAAAAAAAATGCTAGCTAGAAATAGTTCATTTAAACAAATAGCTCCAACAGGCAGAGTGGTGGGGGCAGTGTCTAAGTATTAAGCTTTGCCACTTGGCAGAGAACTGAGGGCATTTCATTGAACAGTTTAATTTGCCTTTATTTAAGCATTATGAAGCTCCATAAGCCATTTTGATATTATTACCATGAGAGTTTTGTATGAGAGCAGATTGTAATAATACATGAAAATTGCAGGCAAAGTAAAGATAATACTTTCATCTGTGTGAGAAACTTAAGCACTAAAAAAGAAGATGTTTTAGTTTTATATTTGGACTTTTATCTCCCTCCTCCCACCAGGCTGTGTGTGCCAAATAAGTATGGGAAAATTTTTAAAACATACTTTCTGTTTTGAATGTCAATGACTCAAACTCATTTAGGTGTTTCCATTCAAGTCACTGCATCAAGAATAGACTCTTGTACCTAAGAACCCATTTATATATGCCAGGAAAATCCAGAAGCCATTTTCCAAGTTGAAATTTCAGGGTAAGAGTGGAAATATTGAAATATATGTTCCTTGTCATTGGAGCATAAAGCGCTACAGAAAATACTTAGTTATGAACAACTCAGAACAAAAAAAACCCTCATTTTAAACTTTAAATATCATGTTCACTCAAATACACTAATTTAATCAATGATGCCATAGATTTCTGAGATTGTTAACCTGGAGAGCAAAACAAATGATGCTTTGACTATAGTAAAAAGACAATAATGTCAACAGATTTTGGGATAGCATTGTTGCTGATTTAGCAACACCATAGATACATTTCTTTTTATTTTTGAACTTTGCAAATGTACTAGGAAATGAAACTTGTGATATGTTTGCTACTTAAATGCAGCAGACCAAGGATGCTATTTCTTGAGATATTTCATTTACAGATTTTAACACAAAGGATAATAGCTAACAATCTGCAACTAAGAAGAATCAAAAGATACTGTAGTAACATAAAATTGACTTTTAATGTTTACCAGTCCATTTTATCTTACAGAAAAATGAAAACATTTTTGTTGTTTTTAAATACAGAATGGTTCTTCTCCTCAGAATTGAACTCAGTATGTATTCAATGCCTTTAAATCTGATTTAAGAATAACCAGATGGCTTAATGACTTTTTATTTTATTTTTTTTTCATTTCTTTTGCTGTACACTATTGCTACTCTGGCAGTAGTGAGCTATAATACAGTTGACTTCTCAACAAAAATTTCAGCTACTCATTGATCTTTCTCCATGAAAATTGATAAGTAATTCATTTGTAATTCTCTCCTCTTTGTGGTCAGTTGCTCCAAGAGACTACCATATTATTTGGAGCACTGACAGCAAGAAACCCAGTATGGCTGCCAGCAACCAAATTGGAATCTCCACTGAGTCTACTCCTAATTGCCAAAATAATAAGTGGCTATATTACTGTATAAGCTAAAACTTTAACAGGTACCGGCCCCCTTTCTATGAAAGAAAGTGTAAATTTACAAATACCATATATGATGAAAAATTACTGTGATAAAATATGGTAGCGGTCATTACAATATTGCTTCCAGGGTTAATGTGACTAACATTTTCATTTTTATACTGTCTTTAATGTGAATTGTTTCTTTTTCAGGAGGAGGGGGTGGTGGTTCAAATGTACACTTATCAGTGATATTTGCAGATATGCTTTATTCTTTATAAGGAACAAAAATGCTAATTATGGACAAAAAGATAATAACAAAATTTCCTAACCCAGCCTCCCATCTCATCCCCCTGGTACTCTTGGAACCCAAGTCTGAGGAGTATTTTTGAATTAGTCAATGCTGTACTGACTTTCTATTAGGAACTGTGCTAGGATAACCTTTCTCTTTCAGACATTCTAGGAAAATGAAGTAGGAAAATAGATTATTTCATGGCAACCAGCAAAATGAGAGCATTAAAAAGACCCCTTAGTCAATCAGGAGCCCAAAAGATATGGGAATTCTGATTCCTTAGGAAAAATAAGAGGTAAAAATTCTGTCCAGCAGTATTCATTCTGGTAAGATTTTCTTTTTACAATAATGAGAAAAATGGTACGCAATTGGTATAGATTTTAATCAATTAATAGTTGTTTCAGAAATTTTCATCAGCACCAATTCCTATACTAGTAAGTATTCAAAAGTTAAGAAATGTTACTATGCTTAACAATATAAAGGTAGAGTTCTACAGCAATAACTGAAAATTACACATCTACTCCAATAGAAATTTGTTCCCATTTGTATTTCCAATAAAATTTTTATAACATACATAGTAATTATTTAAATAAGGGTTTCTTCCAGTGAGATAACCCCCACAGTTGAGGTGTTAGACCTGTTATTTTAGAGATATTCTCCTCTTTAAGTAGAATATTCATCTACTCCAAGCCCATTCAGGGCTCTTGAATTTATAAGTGTGATTTCTGTAAAGTAGTGTTTGAGGCAAACCTCACAATGTCTTTGGATTTTTATCTTTATACAATTTGCATATGAATCCTAATTTTAAAATGTGCATGCATGCATTGTCATACTTTAAGATCATAGCATCTGTAAACTTCCAGATAGGTTTTTTATGAAAGAAATGATCTACTTTTATTTATAATATTTTATCTAGATAATATATGACCATAGCTATCGTTTCAAGGACTTCCAATTGTTCTATATTTCCACATATATAACTCTACATTAAGAAAATAAATTTATTAAATTATTAGAGAGCTTTAAATGCAACCACAATCAATTCAAGAAACAGATTTATTTACTCATCATATTCATGGGAGGAAATCTACATAAAAACTTTCATGAAAGTATACCATCTATGTCATATTTAGATTATTATATTAAATCCCATTTATTAGAACTCATTTTGAAACAATGGGAAAGCATGAAATGTAACTTGAATACAAATATTGGTCCCTGTGGGTGGGGGTCTCAACAGTAAAAAAAACCAAAAAACAAAAAACTAAGAAATCAGAGCTTTATTTAAGACTGGAGCTTCTATTGTGGAACTTTGTTTTTCTGAAGGTGGACTTAACCTTTCATTTAAAGCCCTGAAGATTTTAGTGTAAACTCTTTAATGACAGCTTCATTATTAAAACATTAAAAATGATTTAAGCTGAATGGTGATCAACAAGGAAACTGTCATCACCAAGCACATTTTCTAAATGAGCAAAGAGTCACAAGTACATTGTCGGCTTTTTTTTTGTTTTCCCCAGACACAGGCACCAGTTGTGCTTTCTAATGTCTATAAAATAGGAATAATAAGAATTTTGAGATTGGAGTCTTTGTTTCTAGGTTATGCATGTGTATAATTATTCATTCTTTTTATGATTTATTTTTATGTAATGTAAATAACAAAGAAATATTAAATAGTTTAAAGTTATTTTTATAGGACAATAACATTTCATAAGCTAACATAAAGTCAAGCTGCTAAATTTTACAATTTTTCTGTCCAGCAGTTTATCTATATAACTGCCCTGAGTAGATGCTAAATGCTGCTTAGCAAATGGCCCTTAGAATTTAAATAGAACTCAGTAAAACTACTCAAAAGATAAAACAATTTTTCTCAGACCTGTGTCATACTAATTAAAAGAAGGATTCTCTCATTGGTTAAATATGATCTGATTATCTAAGATTTATAACTTCATATAAATGGGATTATTAAGAATTTTAACTGTGTTTATTACTATACATTGGAGTCCATATGAAACTTTATTTTATCTTTTTGGTCAAAAAGGCAGGATTTTAAAGAGTAAGACATTCCATTTACTGGAGACTTGATACGATGGCTTTTAGAAAAGTATAGATTGTTCCCTTTGAAACTGAGTTTAGTGCAACCTCTCAGGATCTCAGCTTATGTAAAGAAGCATATACTTCAAATCACTTTGTTCTAATTTATGTATTGTCATGCATTTCAAAATTATACAAATGTGTAAAATTTGTGCTTGTGGAAGCTGCTGCTCTGAGTAACTTTATTTTCCTTAATTATAACCTTAAGGATCCTCAAGCTATTTATTGCATGCCCCAGTCACAAAAGAATACTTGTTGGGATGATGTAGCTTAAACAGTTTGTCTCTAAAGCCTCCTTATGAAGCACTTCCCTTAAAATTATATTAATTTAAAATATATATTGAATGCTAGCTTTACAAAAACAAATTAATGAATTGGTCTTTATGAAAATGACTCTTTACAGTAAGTAGAAAAGGGATATCACAGTTTTGGTAACTTGCATGAGTTCATATTGAAAACAAAACAAAACAAAAAAACCTTTTTCACATGTTTCTCTGACTTGAAAACTGATGTGAACTAGAGGCACACTCAGTTGTATGCTCTGAAGCAGTAGACACCATACAGCTTATGCTTTTTATCTGGGAAACCTACAAAGCGCACGGCAGCCTCGGTGGGACTGCAGCGCCTTCTTGGCCTCGAGATGGGGTAGCGGACACTGCCATCTGCCAACCAGCCCGCATCGCAGCGGTCGTAGCCAAGAAGTTTCCAGGCAGCAAATATCTGGCCCACTTTCGCAATCTGAGCACCATCATTGAGACAAGCTTGCACCGCTTCATCGTAGGTCAGCTTGGTGGGGTGGATCAGGTAGTAAAAACGACCTGTGATGAGAAGGAGAGAGAGTCAATGCGCCTGTGGGTGATGGAGTCACACCGAGATGAAACAAGCTCCAAAGGGAAGTGTTTCTCAATAAGGGGGGGAAGGGGGGGGGAATACAGAGCAATGTCTATGAAGTTTTTGGAACATAGTATTGTCCATTATATGCAGTACCCTTAGGTGGCTCGTCATTAACAGATTGCTTCCCCCCCCCATGCCCCTTAATATGTATTCAGACATGTCCTTTTATAGCTTTAAAGAGAAAGGGGAAATGACAGATGTAGTTTCTGTTAGCTAATTAGTGACTAAATGAGCCATTCTGTGGCACTAGAGAAGACAGAATTCCATGTAAAAAGCAAGAGCTATTTAAATTCTAGCTGTAGAGAGACAGAACCCCAGCACAAGTTTCTGGAGAGGCAAAATTTGAATGTGAAAAGATCAAAAAACATTCTTGACATAAAAGTCTATTTAAAAAAAAATCAAATGCCCTTAAGTCCTTTTCATTCCAGGTATCAATAAGACATTATTTTCCTTCAAAGACTACAGTATGAAAACGCAAAAGAAGAAGAAGAAAAAAAAAAAAAATCCAGGAAGTCACTTGCCATAAATAAAACACAGTCAGAATATGAACATGGTCTCTAGCAAGGAGGAGGAATTTATTTTTCTCAACTCCCATCTGTTTCGTGCCCTGACACCTAACTATTTCTTGATTTTAGGAGAAATAACAGATTATTTCCAATCACTTCTTGAATCATAATTACTGAGATGCTTTTCATGTATAAAATACGATGACATCAATGGACTGAAATGACAGATGCATAAACTGATGACTTTCTCCAGCATCTTAATTTCAGGTAAAAGACAATCAGATTGACATCTGATTTCATATTGCAATATGATATTGTTGTTATTGTACCAGACATTAAATATAGATAATTGTAGGATAAAGGGTCCCTGTGCTTAGTTTAAGAAGTTCTGGCAGCATATTGAGTTAAGAATTGGATTGCAAACCTGAGGTTGGCAATTCAAAGCCACCAGCCCCTCTGTGGGAGAAAGAGGAGGCTGTCTGCTCCCGTAAATAGTTACAGTCTCAGGAACCCTTTAGAGCAGTTCTACTCTGTCCTGTGTTTTATTACTGTGTTTATATTAAATCCCATTTTATATGAACACTATGAGTCAGAATCAACTTGATGGCAGTGGCTTTGATGTTGGTTTAATGCTTTGCAGTCACCATCTTAACCCTTTTAATAATTTTTGAATATTTTCATTTTGCTCTGAGACCGACAAATTTGGCAACTGGTTCTTAATGAAGCAAGATAAGAATTTGAGAGTTGTGTTGAATACCGTCAATCAGTAGTCCACACCGATCCAGCCTGGATCTTTTTACTTCTGGTTTCACATCTTCGTAAATTACAGATTGTCCTTTCTTCTCAAGTACCATTACCTCAGTGCGATTTTTATTTTATTTTTACTGTTAGCTTCCTTCTTTATCCTGAACTTTGCAATGACCAATAAATATTTTTGACATTGTAATTTAGAGCAGGAGAATGTGGGTGATTTGGAATCTACCCTTATTTTAATTGAGAAATCCATATTCCCATGGAGGGCCCACAGTGACAGCATAATTTTTGTCAAAAAGAAACAGACCCTATTCAAAGTGATTGCTTAAGCTATTTCATTAAAAAGTGGAATACAATAAAACTTAGGCATAGTAAAATTATGTATTTTTGGTTGAATTACGTGGATATTTTAAATCTATAAGATATTAAAGTATATATACTTTACAGTTTTTTCAAACTGGAACAATGCTTCAAAGTGATTGAGTTCTTTGAAGTAAATAAGATTAAAAGCCAAGTGTAGTATCTTAAGACATGCTGGTCTCTGAGATAAAAGATGAGGCAATAAAGTTAATCTTACCATAGAAGTTGGATGTAAAACAGAAAACATCATATCTGCTTTTATCTTTATCCCAAAACCCGTAGTTCCTGACACCAGGCACTGTGTTCTGGCCTCCGCAGGGCTCTCTGGGTTTTGTGATGGGGTATTGCACAGATCCATCGCTGAGCCAGCCTGCATTGCACCAATCCAGCCCACCTCGCCACGCATTGTACAGCTGGTCGAAGGAGGCAATCACAGCATCTTGGTCTAGACAGGCCTGCCTGGCCTCATGGAAATTGAGATTGTAGCGCCCCAGTCGAGGAAAGTAAGGGAACACCACACCTGTCCAAAGGAGAAGGTCCAAGTTCATGAGAAGCATGAAAAGAGTAGCAATTACAAGTAAATTCCACATGGCTAATGAAAAAAGTATAAATAACAGACTATCTATTGACTGAAATGGCAGTTTATGGTTAATTTGCAATGCTTTTTATGGTGACTTGCCCATCAAACAGCCTCTGAGTGCTGAGCATCTCATAGTTAACTCTTTGGTTTGAGAACTTAATGATTAACTACTTTTTCAATGTTCAACTTCAGCCTTAACATAATGACTTTTCTCACAAAAATAGTTCCCAAATAGCCCTCTCTGAGAACTTACCTTCTGTGAACTGGCTACTGACCCAGAAACATGTATCTTAGAAGAGCTTAAAAAGTTTGTGATGTCTGGTGTTTTTTTTTAATACTGGAAGAAAAAAAAATTCTGTTGTGTTTCATGTAGTATTGTACTACATGAGGTTGTATTTTATGAAGCTGATTAAAGAAACTAAATGTGAAAACTGAAAACACTTGCTCTCCAGCTTAGAGATGCTAAAGCAAATGAAATAAAGAGAAGGTAAAAGAGCTGAATAGAAAATTTCAAAGAGCAGTTCAAGAAGACAAAGTCAAATATTAAAAAGCCAAGAAGGAAGGAAAAGACCAAAATGGATGTCACCAGAGACTGTAAAACTTGCTCTTTAGCATAGAGACGCTAAAGCAAATGGAAGGAAAGAGGAGGCAAAAGACCTGAATAGAAAATTCCAAAGAGCAGCTCAAAAAGACAAAGCGAAATATTATAATGAAAGATGCAAATGCCTGGCGTTAGGAAACCAAAAGGGAAAAAAAAACTCTCAGCATTTCTCAAGTTGAAAGAACAAAAGGAAAAATATAAGCCACAACTTGCAATACTGAAAATTTGTATGGGCAAAATCCGAAACTCTATACAGGGTCACTATGAGTCAAAACAACTTGATGGCACTCAACAACAACAATGGGCTAAGTATTGAAAGATAGAGAAAACATTAAAAGAAGATGAAGGGAACTCACAGAGACACGGTACCCCCCTCCCCCCACCCCCCAAAAAAGGTCAATGTTCAACCATTTCAAGAGGTAGCATATATACAGCAAGCACAGCCTTCAGTATGGATTGCATCTCAATGTCAAGAAAACAAAAATCCTCACCACTGGACCAATAAACAACACTCTTATCAGTGGAGAAAAGATTGAATTTGTCAAGGACTTCATTCTTCTTGGATCAACTATCAACACTCATGGAAGCAGCAGTCAAGAAATCAAACAATGTATTTATTGCATTAGGCAAATCTGCTGCACAAGACCTTTTTAAAGTGTTGAAGAGCAAAAATGTCAGCTTGAGGACTAAAGTGCCCCTGACCCAAGCCATGGTATTTTCAATAACCTCATATGCAAGTGAATAAGGAAGACCATAGAAGAATTGATGCCTTTGAGTTATGGTGTTGAAGGAGAATATTGAAAGTGCCATGGGCTGCCAAAAGAACCAATAGATCCATTTTGGAAGAAGCGCAGCCAGAGCACTCCTTAGAGGCCAACATGGCCAAACTTTGTCTCTCATACTTTAGGCATATTGTCAGGAGGGACCAGTCACTGAAGAAGGATATTGTGTTTGGTAAAGTGGAGGGTCCGAGAAAAAGAGGAAGACCCCAACGATATGGATTGGCCAAGTGGCAGCATCAGTTGGCTCAAGTGTGGCAACAGCAGTGAGGTTGGCCCAGGATCAGGCAGCGTTTCGTTCTGCTGTGCATAAGATTGCTATGAGTCAATACCAACTCAATGGCACCTAACAACAATAATGATATTAAAGAAACAAGTCCAAGGTGCAATGAAGACATCAGCAAGGAACAAAGCTCCAGGAATTGATAGACTCTACATTGATATGCTCCGTGGGAGAAAGATGAGGTTTTCTGCTCCCGTAAAGATTTGCAGCCTTGTAAACCCTATGCAAAGGAGCTCTGGTAGCGTAGTGGATACAACTCGGGCTGCTAACCTCAAGGTCAGCAGTTCGAAACTACCTGCCATTCCGTGGGAGAAAGATGAGGCTCTCTGCTCCCGTAAAGATTTACAGCCTTGGAAACCCTGTGCAAGGTCACTATGAGTTGGAACTGACTCCATGGTACTTAACAACAACAACAACAAAATCCTATGCCTGGTCACTATGAGTCAAACAGACTCCAGGGCACACAAACACCACCAGATATTGGTGCCCTGGTGTGGCACTATAGGAAAAGTACTGAACTGTTAACCTGCAAGGTCAGCAACTCAAAACTATCAGTTGCTCCTTGGAAATCCTGTCTAGGGTCGCTATGTGTCCAAACTGACTTGATGGTGTTTAACAACAACAACATATTTCTATATTGCAAATTAAAAACTAAACATAAAAAAAAATTCCCACAAACAGCAGCATTTCGTCATTGATTAAGTTAATTTTAATGGAAGATTTTTGTTAAATATTTTAATGGAGAAAAAACAAAGATAAACAGAGTGACATTGTACTTAGCATTGGTTGGGAAGATACAATGGAATGCAAAAAATACTTAAAATATTTTTGTTTCCTTTCCTAATTAATATTAATTATACAAGGTGTGGTGTTTACACTTGTAGCTTCCTGACTCAATAGCCCCTAACTTTTTTTCCAAGTAGAACTAAAATTTCTTTAGTTCTTACCTAGTATGTTGTGTTAAGTGCTGTCGAGTTGATCCCAATCCATAGTGACCCTGTGTAGGGTTTCTGAGAAGCAGCTGGTGAGCTTGAACCGCTGACTTTGCAGTTCAAACAGCTTTGCAGTCTGATGCATTAACCCACAGCACCACACCAGGACTCCTTTACCAAGCATACGCTGCTTATAAAAGGAGTCATCCCTGAAGTAGAGGGTGGGATCTCACTATCAGAGAGGAAGAGCCAGGATTGGAGGCCAAGATCCCTGCACATCAAGCCTCCTCGACTAAGGGACAGAATTCTGGGACACCAGAAAGTTACAGAGCAGCAGCAGAAGACTGACAGCAACAGAGTCACTAGTCAGAGCACGTGACAGAGTGCTGGGCTTTCTAGTCCATGGAGCAAATAAAACTGACTGAGGACCAGAGAGAATCCTGTCTAAGGGCATGCTGAAGAAAGGCCGTTCGAACTGGAAGAATTGTGCCCTGACTATTTGTGACCCTGAACTGTATAACCTGTTAACTTCTCAGATAAACTGTAAGTATGGTGTCTGACCTCTGTGTGGCCATTACAGTGAATTATGAAACCTAGATGAGTAGACGGGATGGCTGATGCCATTGTTTTACAGTTTATATTTCTAACCGTCTCATATGTAGCTATTTTTCACATCTACTTCTAATCTCTACATTCCTGGTGTGGTGCTGTGGGTTAATGTGCCAGACTGCAAAGCCGTTTGATATGCAAGGTTGGCAGTTCAAGCTCACCAGCTGCTCCTCGGAAACCCTATACAGGGTCGCTATGGATCGGAGTCGACTCAATGGCACTTAACAACAACAACAACTTCTAATCTCTACAGTCCTGGTGTGACACTGCAGGATAAGCACTGGACCTTAATGTCAGTTTGAACTGTAAGGTTCAAACTCACCAGTCGTTCCTGGGAAACCCTAAGCAGGGTTACTATGAGTTGGAACAACACTTCTAATATCTAAGTTACAATTGTATGCAACATTTGATCCTTTTGGTCATTTGATCATGAGAGTTGCCTCCTAGCATTTAAATAAATCTTTTAAATTGTATCATTTGTTGGTTTCCTCTTGCATAATTGCTAAAAGACCATTAATTTTAATTATTCAAGGCCTTGCTTGAATTTCTTGAATACAATTAGGAATAATTAGTATTTTGTAGCATACTAAAAATTGTGGCATCCTAAAACTTGCCCCACTGATATATTAATTTGGTAGATTTTATATCTCATATGCTATATTTTGCGACACTGTAGATCACACTCAAGGTGAATGTACAATTCACTCATAATAGTTTTCTTTTATAAGTTGTCTTGGAAGCTTCAACAAGTAAACATTTCAATAGCCTTCGATCAAGTCTCGTCCACTGAAGGCCTCTGTGGGGCACATTTGTCTTTCTAGGGCAGTCCAGCTGGCATCTTCCACTAAAGGCAGAGATCCAGGAACGTTTCCTGATTTTATCCTGCCGTCTCAGGTTCTTGGCTGAGGGATCTATAAGCTGAATCAAAGCCAAAAAAAAAAAACAAAAAAAAATAGGAAAAGACTCTCTGAGTTACCACTGAGCTCTGCCATAGTGAAGCAAAGGGAAACCCTGAAATGGTTCTGTGTAAAAAGGGCTATTCCCAGGCACCCAGCTAAGAACTCAGTTATCACTGTGATAGAGGGACTTTTCTGTTCCCTGTTCCTTAGTACTTTTTTCCTCCTTCCTCAGCAAACCCTGGAATGCAGTTAAAAAAGGAAAAATATTTAATTTATCCAGTTAAGATTTCATTGGCAGCTAGACGTCAAATGAGAGAAAAATCTCAGAGTACTTCAATTTGGAGAGAGAAAATTAGATATTATTTGGGTTTCATTTCCATTTTCCAAATAGTTCAAGAATGGTAACAGTGGAAAATGTAGGGTATTATAACTTATAATGATCTTAAGACCTAGAAAGCCTGTCAGGTTTGAATTTTGTGTATTTTATGGACTTACATAGGGATTAGTAAAAATCTTTTCTTTGGTAGTTTGTCTTTGATCAACTATTAACTGTTACTGAAATATGACTGCTCTGTTGTTTGAAATTGTTATTAAGTGTCATTGAGTCAGTTCTGATCCATAACAACCCTACAAAGAATTTTTGAGGTGTGGCTGGTGAGCTTGAACCTCCAACTTTGTGGTTCAAACTGACTTTGCATCCAGTGCACTAAGCCCACAGCACCACAACCAGATGCTAATAATTCAATATAACATATTTATTTGTGTTCCTTTTGAGTTTAATATCATTTCATATAATCATTATCTAGTCTAGAAATGTAACATTTTGAATCATAAGAACTAATAGTTAGCAGATTATTATATTCTCTCAAAAATTTACTTAACAAATTTTCATTAATGTTTGATTATGCTGTAAAGAACACATGTCGATCCAGGTCAACATGAATACCCTACTCCATCAATTTCAAAAGTTTCTCTGTGTTCTACAGGTCAATGATCAGATGCTTTTTACAAATAGGGGCATTTTTGGAGCTACATTTTTGTCAGCATTTTGTTTATTTATTAAACTACCTACTAGCTAAGATTTCAACATCTAAGACTATAATTGTAGAAAACCCTCTTGGTTCTATAGAAAAACGTGCAATCTCTACAGCTGACTTATGGATCAAATCATTGTTTTCATCCAACACTATGAAAGTAAGAAAACCCCAACTTTTATGGGTGGGAAGGAAGCCATCATGATTATATTCCAAGTAATATCTCTTTTCTCCATTATACTTATATGTCAAAATATAAGCAAAATGCTCTTCAAGTTTCTCTGGAGGCCTGGTATGCATAACTGCAAAATGGACCAGTAAGGGTGACATATTACATGGAAAAGAATCATATCAGACAGGGTAAGCAGAAATTAGAGTCAGAGCTTAGTCAGTTGAAATCTATTTTCAAAACATATTTTTTAATATTTATAACTGCACAGCTTATTTCATTCTAGTTTTCAGCAAATATCAACTTGTTAGGATGTGGTAAGTTGTCAGTCCCTAATATATATAACAATCAGAGTTTTGAAAACTCATAAAGCACATGTTTCTAGTAATAACAAGTTCATTCATTTCCATAGTATTTATTGAGCCCTAACTTTTTTCATGGCTTTCAAGTAGGTCAAACACTTTGCATGTGGAGACAAGTTTGCAAATTCTTACAAAACAATGTTAGAGAATAAAAGGAGGAGAGTGGTTGATCTTGTAGTCTAGGAGTAGAGGACCCAGGGACCATCAAGGGAGAAGAACAGCGTGTGAGATCCTATCCAGAGAATCAGTGACACCAGAGATGGAGGCAGAGATGATGATGTGGAGAGATGGAGTGGCTGGAGACTCTAGACTCAGGGAGAGGGAGGGGCTGTGTGCTGATGGCTGGGGGGTGAGCTTGCAGGGTGTGCCCTTTGGTTGTTTGAATCGTTGTATATTCCTGAGTGCTTCGGTATACACCCCCAAAAAATAAAAATGAAAAAAAGAAAAACAAAAACAGAGGAAATGGAAGCAAATGCTGTTGAATGATGATGCATGGAGGGGATTGTAGACATTGCAATAAAACAAAATATGATAGGATGAAGGTAAGTAAAGCTGATGTTCTCCCATGTAAACTATCACCCAATTCACAATATAAACTTAAAAAACAACAACCAAAAAACCACATTAGAGAAATAATGGAAGTCTGCATAAGATGCGATCGATGGGAACATCATAGCTCTAGCTGGGTGGGGTGGGGTAGACCAGGAGGGCACAGGGAGAGTTGACCTTTGACCTTATTCTTTAGTTGTTCAGAAACAGATTCATGTGTGCAAATTCTCAGTTCAAATGTCAGTTATTTAAAAGTAGGTCCTCTGGTTAATGACTGCGTCTATCCTCTACAGCACACAAGACATGGAAAAAGTACAATCTGTGGTGAGGGGAATTTAACAGACATTCAACATACTGGTTAATGCAGCAAAATCAAAGGGTAGGCCCTCGGTCATTTCCCAGATAAATTTTGGAGACTTCAAGAATCGTTTGATCCTTGGAGGTGTCAAATGCTGCTATTTTCCGAAGTCTGTTCTTCCCCACAACCAAGAATTTCTCCTTCCTGTGAGTCCCCATATCATAGAGGATAAGCTCATAGACTTCATGAGAAGCCCTTGGTATCACATTCCAGCTTCACCTCTCATTAGACATGTTACCTATAAAAAGTGCTTTTCTCAAGACTAATTTGTAAAATAGATTACTGAAAATGAGCAAAATATATAGTGCACATGACTATAGCAATGCTTTATTGAATTCTTTCTTATTTTATTAAAGTGTCTTAGATTCTACAGACGACCCTAAGATTATTGAGAAGTTCCTGGGTGGTATAAATGGTTGACGTGTTCAGATGCCAACTAAAAGTTTGGAGGTCCAAGTCCAACCAGAGGCACCTCATAAGAAAGGCCTGAGTATATAATTCAAAATAACCACTCAGTATAAGGCTAGAAAGAACAGTTCTATTCTGATCCATAAGGGGTCACCATGAGTTGGAATCCACAATGACAACTGGTTATTGGTTAAGATTGTAGAATGACAAGAACCAAGACTTGAGAGATTTTTGTTTGTTTCTTATAGCACTTGTGAAAATATTTATCAATTACAGTGATTTGTTTGATCTGATTCACTTGGTTCATTTGCGTATGTGTCATTTGGTAGGAAAGCGTTCCCAAGCATAGGGGAAAAGGTAATTTAGGACTGAGCACAGTGTAGGCAGGAAAAGTTACATTACAGTTCTCCTTTAGATTATTTTATAGGCCCACTTCAACTCCTCACACTGTGTTTTTGGAGGAAATCTATTTGACCCAGGAATACATTATCCTAACATGTGCTAAATTTCTCCTTCCAACAAAGGGGAAACAGGTGGTATGTTCAAAGCTATCAGCAAGTAGGTATTCAGTAAGAAGTTAGAAATGTCTTATTTTCATTGTATTTATTTTATGGTTTCTAGTTCTGGCAAATGACACTAGTTTTATTTATTTAAAATTTCATTTAGAAATAAATATAGGGAAACAGTAAATATGGTATGTGTATTACTTAAGTTATACAATATTGTGATATACAAACTTAATTTTAGAAGGGAAAATACCTTGGATGATATAATTCAACCTCTTATTCAATAGATAGGGATTGTTGTTGTTGTTAAGTGCCATCTAGTTGATTCTGACCCATAGCAACCCTGTATAGGGTTTCTGAGGAGCAGCTGGATACTAAGGTACAATAAGTATAAGCACCCTGCCCAAGCTATAAAACTTACACTGGTACAGTTGGGACTAAACTAAGCCTCTTGATACTAAGAACTCAAAGTTCCACCCATCATCCCATGTCTCTTTGGTAAAGGAAATTATCTCAATTATTATTTAATGATTGGCTGTTCTCTCTTATTCAGCTACTTTTTCCATCCTGTATACCAACGTTCATGGGTGTTAATGTGAATCAATAGAAACTGAAACCACTTATGGCATGCAATCAGGAACCAAGAACTACAACTGAGGGAAACAAGGAAAGTCAGAACAATGAAATATACAATTTTGTGCAATTCATTAGCTATATAAAGCAAATCTCCATACATGCAATGGGATTCTATGGGATATGAGGTCATATCTTCAGTGATGTGTTAGTCAACCAGATATTTTTCAAAAGCCACTAATCTTTCCTAGAATGTGAAAAGAACATCTAGGAAACATATACTTAAAGTTTTACATACACAGTAAGGAAAGCAGTCTATCAATGCAGCCAAAATTTACATACCAGTGAAAAGTAATGTTGAAACAAATGAAAATAAGATGACTTCAGATACAAGAGAAACGAAAAAGAAGAGAGTTTCCCCACTGAAGGGCCACAGATGGTATGTATTGGGCAGAAGGGAGGAAAGGTAGGAAAGACATTTTTTATGAAATAGTTTTATACACAGTTTGGTTTTTTAACCTACTGAATAGCTTATATTTATTAAATAATGTTGTTGTCTTACATGTTATTCAGTCAGTTCCAACTCATAGTGACCCTGTATAGGATAACCAAGGAGTGGCTGGTGAGTTTGAATGGCTGACCTTCTGGTCCAGTGCTTTATCCCACAGTGCCACACCAGGACACCATTAAATAATGTTAAGTGCTGTTGAGTTGATTCCGACCCATAGTGACCCTGTATAGGGTTTCTGAGGACTGACTGGTGAGCTTGAAAGTCAAACGGCTTTGCAGTCTGGCACATTAACACACAGTGCCACACCAGGACTCCCATTAAATAATACACTCCCCCAAATACCTGGGTAATGCATTATTCAATGATTAAGAGACTCTGGACCGTTACAAAAAATTCTTTGCAAAGGACCATTTAAGTAAATCTAAAGTTTGCATTTTTTGTTAAATTAAGTTTTTCACAATCATTTTACTGAATAAAATTACATGTATTTTAGTTAACAGATGTCCTTTTAGAAAACTTGCTATTATTTTGAAGCTGAGATAATTTTAGCAGGATTATAAAAAAAAACATCAAATCTGAATTCTCAGTAACCAAGTAATGAGATTTAAATTTTGAATAACATAAAGTAGTATCTGAACAATGTTAATTCAGTTCCACTGCACGTTTCTGCTGGTTGCAAATAGCTTCAGTTTTGCGCATAACCATTGTGTGTGTATTTCAAATATGAAAGATGGCATCATGGGCAGACTGCAAAGCACAAAAGAATAGAAAAGCATTCTATGCATGGACTGTTGATTTCTCACATCATCACTATGGTAACCACTAGGCATTACTCATCATAAGGAAATATGAGTAAGGATTCACTATCATTCCTAAGTTTAACATGGTTTATAGATACCTACCTTGTAACTCTAATGCTACCACAGCAGTATTATCTTCTAATCCTTCAATCACCTCACATTTATATCTCCCATAGTCCTCCAGGGTGAGATCTGTGATTACCAGAGAAGCATCATTGTCACTGCTACCCTTTAAAAACACTCTACCCTGATAGTATCCAAAGGTTTTCTTATGGTATCCCATGGAGACAAACACATCCTCTTCCTTGAGGTAATCGGCAGTCAGCTTGGTCCACTTAATTCGGATTCTGTGGGTTCCTGAGCCAAATGCTCTTGGGTCTCGATAAAATTTACATGGCAGTGTAACATTGCCACCTCTGTGGGAGAACACCTTGGCTTGCTCAGCTTCCACACGTAGGCGAGGGCCATTTTCTGCTATAAAAATAAAAAGAGAGAGAGAGAGAAAAATAAAATAATTATTAAAGTGTCTTTCAAGTTTTGTTTAAAATGCAATATGAAATATGCTATAGATTCACAATATCTGACAAAGAATAGCTTTGGGTAATTGATTTTCTACTTTTAACCATATAGAAATCTACTACTATATATACCCCATGGTATACTACATATACCTATGCATAGTGGAAGTGTGGTGGCACCATATGATAAGCACTGGACTTCAAACTATAAGGTTTGTGGTTTGAGCCCCACCAGTCAGTCACTCATGGGAGAAAAATTAGGCTTTCTGCTCCCACGAAGATTTAAAGCCTTGGAAATACGATACAAGGTCACTATGAATCAGAACTGACTCCACAGCACATAACAATAACAACAGCTAAGCATAGGGTGTTTATAAGACAGTCATATTTTAAGCCATTGGAAAGAGGAAGAATGCACATTATAATCAAGAAATATTAGATAACAAGACTTCACTGTTATCTAAAGTTTGATGATATAATAAATTCTATTTATTTTTCTAGCCCCATTTTTATTCTTCATTTACATATAAAAACATAGGAACAAGGTTAAGAGATGTGACAAGGTTACAATACCATTTCTTCAACATAAACCCCAAAAAATTTGATAGCTTAAATTTTTCTCTGCTTAGCTGAAATTTCTAAAATACTAAGTGCATTATATTTAAAGAAAGAATACCAAGCAATATGACTCACTTTTTTCATATTTTTCTGGGCAAAGAATTCAGAATATTCTCAAACTTATGTTGTTGTTGTTTAAGTGGTATTGAGTCATTTCCGACTCACAGTGACCCTGTTTTCGAGGAATGGCAGGTGAGTTTGAATAACTGATCTTGAGGTTTGTAGTCCAATGCTTATCCTACAGCACTGCACCTTATAGTCAAATATAATCCTGTGCTTTCTCATTCTGAAGCATTACAAGTCACAGGCATGTATTTTATTTTCACACAAAGGCTAAACATCCTGAAGGTATTGCCAATGAATGCTTTTGACAAACTCTAGATTTTGGAATATATTCCTCCAAATTTGCAAGCAAAAGGTATAGCTAAAAAGCTATACTGGAATTCTGGTGTGTTACTGTGGGCTAATGTGCACCCAGAAGCCATTTCAGTCCATCCAGAGGCTCCTTAGATGATGTAAGACCTTGGTGGTCTACTTCCAAAAGGTCGCAGCCTTGAAAACCCTATGGAGCAGTTTTACTCTGCACACATGGTCCCCAGGAGTTGGACTTGACTCAACAGCAGCCAATAAAAACGTATGCCTGTACGCTAGAGGAATGATCTCAATACTGAAGGAAGTCACACTTAGCAGTCTTGGTGAGGCGCTGTGGGCTAATGCACCAGACTGCAAAGTCATTTGAACTGTAAGGTCGGTGGTTCAAGCTCATCAGCTGCTCCTTGGAAACCCTAAACAGGGTTGCTATGGGTTGGAATTGCCTCAACAGCACTTAATAACAACAAAAACAATTTCTGATTAGCCCAAGAATTATATATATATAAAGTGTCCTAGGTGATGCTGATGCTGTGGTTTAATGTGCTGGACTGTAAAGTTGGTTTGCTCCATAAGGTTGGCAGTTCAAGCTCACCAGCTGCTCCTCAGAAACCCTATCCAGGGCTGCTATGGGTTGGTACAGACTCAATGACACTTAACACAAATAACAACAAAGAATTATATGTTTCTTCATGTCCTTAAACTCATTCCACTCCTTCTCTCTTTGTCTTTTGTTATGTCTTGTATTCTTGTCACTTCAACCTCTCATTGTCTTGTTCTTTGTTTCCCTGCCTCCCTCATCCACGGCCTTTATTGCTTTCCAGAGAGCACCACAATATTCTAAGGCAGCTAAGTCAGCAGTGCTGCCGTTTTCTGAAGAGCCAGATGTTATTTCCAGATCTTGACTTTCCCTGGGGTTTTCCCTGTCCATTGCATTATACTTTCGACCTTGACAAACTCTCCTGAGGATGCGCAAGACTTGAAAATGAGAAAGAACACCTAGATGCATGGCTTATTGCCAATTAAAAGCTTTCAAAAGCTCCCAAATATGATTCTTGATTAATTTCAGTTCTTCCTGCCTTAGGCCGTTAGGTATTGAACAATCCTGAATCATTTAAGATACTACACAAATCACCAGGAAGAGAACTGATCAACTCCAGACAGATCTCAAGATTCAATTATGTATTACAAAGGATTCAGATATTTTTAACTGTTCAAAAATAGATTCAGCAGTTCTGTTATGATCAAACAGCAATCAGAATTAATATTTAAAAATCAACATAACATTTTATAAGTCAATCTCATTCCTTAGAACCCAAAGAGTATAACAAAGCCATCAACTTTGTGATAAAATATAATGAGAATAATAGCCTCATTTAGTATTTGATTAAAATGAATCACAAAAGTGTTTCTTTCAAAGCTTATTTTTTTTATCTTCTTATTTAAGGGCATAGAATATCAAGAGAGGAAAGGTAAATATATCTAAATGTACCTATAAATGACTGTGTCTATCTTCTACATAAATATATAAATGTCTCTAATGTCCTTTTCTCAGAGAAGGAAAAGGTCTGTTAGCTAAAATTGCACAGCAATATACTATGGGTGTGGTAAATATCTTGTATCCTGGTGCCTTGGAAAGACACCTGAAAGCTGGACTTCCCATATGGGAGGTGAGTTTAAACATAACACAGAACTACAAGAGGTCTCAATTTCATGGTTCTTTTACATCATTTAATTTGAAGTAAAAATTAATGCCCTAATGGACTGGGATAAGAGATCTTGTGCAGCAGATTTGCCTAATGCAATATTACTTTGATTTCTCCACTGCTGCTTCCATGACTGTTTCTGAGCAAAGAGACGTTTTGACAACTTCAAACTTTTCTCCATTTATATGTTGTCAGGTGCTATTGAGTTGTAACCGACTCATAGTGACCCCATGCACAGCAGAACGAAACAGTGTCCGATCCTGGGCCAACCTCACCAC